GAGGTGAATTTCCTCTTCCTTTTTCTGAATGTACTATACTGTCAATTCATTAACACTGAACTCACAACTAACAGCACTATAACTCATGCCTGAATGAAGCTTATATAATCCATGCATTTTCTCTGTAAGGCACATCACAGCCTTCTTACACTTAGAACACTAAACAGCACTTTAGCACTACACTTGGGGGCCATTTTAAACACCAAAATCACCAACAAAAAGCAAAAAATGCAAAAAAAGTGACACTAAATAGACTGCAAAAAGGACACTTGTTTACAATGTGAGAGTTGAAAAAAGAAGGTAGAACGCAGCCTTGTTCAACCTCAACTAGGACTGTGTGCACGAGTGACTCAAATTTTTCGCCACTCTGTACATGTCCACAAATGACTGTGAAGCACAACTATTAATCTTGGGGTTACAAATAAATTTTAGCAAGTAGGAGAATTCACAAATACAGAATCCATGAATAATGAGGATTGATCTTATGTTTTCTGCCAGATACTTTATTATAGAGTAGCACATGTATGCTTAACAACGCAATGTTCGAGTAAGAAAAACATCATTATAAATGTATAATCATAAGAATTATTTTTCAGGAATATAATTTTGTTGAATAAAAACATACTGATGAAAATAATGCAATGGAATATTATTCAACTATAATAAAGAAAGGAAGTTCTGATACATGCTGCAACGTGGATAAACCTTGAAAACAATGTACTGAGTGAAACAAGCCAGATACAAAACAACAAATATTGTATGATCTCACTTATATGAATTATCTAGAATAGGCAAATGCATAGAAACAAAAGTTTGTTATGGTTACCACGGGCTGGAAGGAACCCTAGTGGTGCACTGGTTAAGTGTTCAGCTGCTAACCAAAAGGTCAGCAGTTCAAACCCAAGAGCCGCTCAGAGGGAAAAAGGTGGCACTCTACTCCTGCAAAAATTTACACCCTTGGAAACCCTATGGGGAATTCTGCTTTGTCCTACAGGGTCACTATGAGTCAAAATCAACTTGACAGCAGAGGGTTTGGTCTGGCAGTGGGTACTAGGGGCTGGGGAGAGGAAGGAATGGGAGTTATTGCCAAAGACACATTGAGTTGCTGTCTCGGGTGATGTAAAACTTTTAGAACTGGAGAGTCATGATGGTAGCACAACATGGTGAATATAGTTAATATCACTGAATTGTACACTTAAAATGGTAAACTTTTTGTTATATATATTTTTTACTGCAATAAAATTTATTTTAAAAAATGATGACGCTAAGCTTAAACATATACAGTATTTAGTACTAGCTAAGTGATGTCTGATTACTATCAGATGCAACAATAAAATTATTCTGTTTTTTAGTAGATAAAACAAGAAACTGATCAACAAAACAAATCACAAATCACTAAACAGAGAATTTTTAAATACACTGATATTTGCATTAAAAAGTATCAGAATGTATGCTAATATCTATAGTGTAAGTCTGACAGAAAACACACAGATTTACTTATTTTCATACAAAACAATTTAAGAACACCATGAAATTTATCAGTAAAATACACTTAAAGGCTAATTTAACTCTACTTACGGAATTTAATTACAGACGACTTTTTAAAAACTAAGTTGAAATTTAAATGAAGTATTACTAAATTCTACAGAAAATATGTTTAGAAAAATGCAATGTGGGAATTAAAGGATAAATACTATAAGGCAACATAAAAGTATTTATGGCAAAATCAACTCAATAAAAAAAGCATAAAATTTTGAAAAAACAGTCCAATATGAATTTTTTTCTTAAAAGGTAACTTCTAAGTTGAAAATATTATAACCCATTAATCAAAGAAAAATGAACTTAATAGACTTTTGTTATGTGGCAGTTTTATTTTTAACACAGTTTGCAGAATTGATCTTACTATAAAACACTGCTGAATACCAAGAAATAATCATAAAATATGGTCGCTAATTCCAACAGTCTGTGTCTTTACGAAAAGCCCATGTTAAGGCATCCTTCCTTACACCAGTAAGTTACTTTAAAAAACTAAAGTTCCACTTCAGTAGCATTACTACTTTCATCACAAGGAAAAAGGACTAGATTAATACAACTGGAGTATCAACAAACTTGATTCTTAAGAGACAACCGAAAAAGCATGTAGAGAAAGTATCCATAAATTTTCACAGCGTAGGAGTACTAGGGGTAGAAGACAAGGCACACAAGAAACAGCACTCTGCAGAACAGATCTTGGTTGTATTTGGCTCTGCCTTCCATTAGCAGTTTGGCTTGGGGACAAGTCAGTTAACTTTCCAGCTTTTAGTGTTTTCCTCGGTCAAGTGAAGGAATCCTGGTGGTGGAGTGAAGCTCTAGGCTGCTCACCCAGAGGTTGGTGGTTCAAACCCACCAGCCGCTCCAGAGAGAAAGATGTGGCAGTCTGCTTCTGTAAAGATTTACAGCCTTGGGGCAGTTCTACTCTGTCCTACAGGGTCGCTATGTGAGAGAGTCTACTCCGCAGCACTGGGTTTGGTTTTTTTTTCTGTCAAGTGCACTCAGATTCTTCTGTTTTAAAACACCAAAATTCTACAATATCTACAAAATTAAGAAGAACAAACAGCAGCCCTGGTGAAGGTAAAATAATGGCAGAAACAATACAAAATTGTTGTAACGTGCTATTCATCAATGTAATATTTCCAGAGCTGAATTCCTAAATCTTTGAAGCATACCCAACTTGGGTTATATCAGTGAAGATATAGATACTGTATTCAGAATGTAACTCTCTCCTACAATGTTAGATTTTTCCCTCATCTGCTCCTCCCCATGCTGCTTCATTCTCTCTTTTGCTCATTGTAAGTAGAAACGCCAGCAAACGTTGTGAGCTCAAGGATCAAATCATTTTAAAAGATTTTCTTCCAATCACATATCTGCTTCACTAAATTCCTCCCAAATGGGTGAATTTTCATTAAGAGAATAAAAAAATAAGCAAACAACTTCAGAAATAAGAAATATACCAGGCCAATTTTTTTTTTGTTTTTACTTCTTAAAAAATATAACAGAAAGATGTATCCAAATCTATTCTCTTAATAATATGAATGCATTACCCACCCAAAGAAAAAACAATTCTGCTGGTTCATTTCCCTGCTACACAACAGCTGCATTGTCAGGCCCTTCGTAGCCCACTCTTCATTTAGTAATTTCATATTGATCACCTTGGCAGCGTTTGGGCTCCAGCAGGCGTAGTTCCTGCTGTTCAGGACCTTACATTCTTCAAATAAAACTCTACTGAACACTAAAAACGGATTCTACGACCTAGAGTGCACGTCTTCCCGCCCTGTGTTAGGCAGTTATTTATTTTCTCCCTTGCATAAAACGAAAGGAACCATACCAAACCCTACACTTGAATTTCAGGACAATGAAGGCAACAGGAAGCCACTCTCTCCTCCCCCGGGTTTACTACGGAGCTGGAGCCTACGCGGGTGACATCGCCAGACCGGGTGCGTGACACCACATCTTCGACGCCCTCCAACTGCGTCCAAAGGGCTCCTCGCTCGACCTCCCCCAACCGCCTCACACCCCAAAACCAACCACACAAAAAGGACTGGCTCTGTTCGCTGCGCCGGCGGGGCCGCAGATCTGGGAAAAATCCCCTTCCCGCGCCAGCGCAGCCATTCCCTCCAGCCCTGCGCCCGCACCCTTCACAAACTATTACGGCCGGGGTGGGGGGAGTGGGAGGGGGCGCTCCACAAAGCCGGGGAGCGGGGCGCTGGAAACGATTCAATACCTTTAGGGGAAAGGAGGCAGCGGCAATGGACAAGGGAAGGCCGGGCTGGCAGCACGACGGAGGGACTAGGGTGGGAGACCGAGGGTGGGGGGATGGGAGGGGCGTCCCTGCCGAGCCCCTGAGGCGGGCGCGGGTGGGGGTGGCGGCGCCGCGCGGAGCATCTGGGAAGCGCCCCCTTGGCCTCCCGGCCCCGCACCCCGAGCCCATTCCGCAAACCCACGGCTCTCCCAGGAAGAGGATGTGAAAAAGCAGCGGCGGCGACATCAGCAGCGCCTAACCAGAGCAGCCGAGCGCATCACTTACCCCTCACTGTGGAGAGAGGGACCGGACGGGGGAGGCGGGGCGCGTCGCGTCCCGTGAGTCTGTCGCACGCCGTCCTCCCCCCACCTCGTCGTCGTTGTCGCTGCCGCTGCGGTCGAGCTCCGGGCCCCTTAGCTCCGCTGGGCAATAACGTTATTCCACACACGCACACGCCCCACACATAGCGGTAACGGCAAAGAGCGACCGCCTACTGCGCAGGCGCCTCGGGAAAGGGCGAGGAGCCGAGCCCTATCTCCTCCTGCCCGGTCCCAACAATCTCGTACTGCGCAGGCGCCGAGCACAGACAATGAAAAGGGGTTGCGCGGAGGGTCTCACCCACACGCTTTTCCAGCTGCCCACTGCGCAGGCGTACCCCAAGACGAGCTTGAACAATGAAGAGGACCCAGGCATTCGCGGAACCGCAACCAACAAGGACTACAGTTCCCAGCGGGCAGTGCGCTGACTCCAACGGGAGGTCGGGTCGCTGGGCAGGCTAGGATTTGTAGTGTCGGCCGCCTTTACAAGCTAGACAATCTAGGCTGTTCGGAAGATTTAGCGCTTCTTTTTCTTGACAATTTATTTGGCCTTTGTGACAAATTGTGGATTAAAAGATTCACAGCTTGTCATTTGAGACCTTCCGAAACCTTAGGGATCAACTGCGTATAGCAGATTTCGAAGATTCAAGGCCTTCAATGAGTTCTTTCCGTCAGTTGGTTGGTCCAGACAGAAGGATGGCTTGAAGGCCGGGCTATAGGAAAAGGGCGGGGCCGCAAGCTGTTTCTTGGCAACCGGCCCTCGCAACCAAACGGCCGCAGTTGCGCCTGGAGCGCGGTGCCCTCTGGGAATTGTAGTGTAACTGGAAGGGCTCTTAGTATCTCGAGGCTGGAGCCCCTGAGCCTGCGGACTACTACTCCCGACGTCCACCATAAGGACCAGTGGGTGGCAAGAGCCCCCACGAGCTCAGCCTTGGTTTCCAGGATCCCCAGTGACAGCAGCTGCAGGAAGCTGGCGAGCGCTCCCCAGGTGCTAGGCCTGTTGTTCTCGGAGGGGAGTCCTCTGGACAAGTCCGCACGTAACTCGTATCTCTGGGCCCCGGGTCCGTGCATGGCGAAGTCCCCAGGGAACTCCACCCTAGAGGAGATTCTAGGGCAATACCAACGGAGCCTCCGGGGTGAGTTGCTCCGAACCTCTGTGCCCCAGCCCCTTGGTACCCAGGGCCTAGTGGGCGGGAGCTGACCAGGTGCGTTTCCTGACACCTTGGTTCAGCCCCAGCGTGCCTGCGTAGGAAGAAGATGGGTGTTGCTCTGATCTTTAAGGAAGGATAAAATAGTTTGATTTTGTTTTGACGGTTAAGCAGCGTTGCTTCCTTTGATTCCACCCGAACCAACTCTCTGATCTTGACTTAGGCTTCTTTCTCAACCAGTACCGGCAGAAACTTGTGGACAGCTCTATGGCACTGTTGCCCAGTTCTCATACATGGCTCTTTAATCCAGTGAGTTCCTGATTCACACTTTTTACTCATTCAAATTCTGATTTAGTAGAATGAAAGTGATTTATTGGATGGGGGGAAAACAATAATAGTGGTTTTAATCGAAATAGCTTCTATTTAGTGGTCTAGGCTGTTTACATAATTAGCTCATTTAAAACTTACAACAACCTTATGATTATTCCTATTTTACACGTGGAAAAACCGAAACTCAGGTTAAATTACATGCCAAAGGCCACAAGGCTGGTTACTGGCAACGCCAGAGATTGCATTCAGCCCTGTCTTCCTTCAAAGCCTATCTTCTTTTTTTTTTTGTTTGTTTTTCTTTATTAATCATGTCACAATCACTATTATTGAAACTTTATTCAGTTAATTCAGATTATGTCAGTACAGTTTCCAGTGAGTGTTCATCCATAGAAATGATCCTATGCTTGTAGTAGATGGCTCTGCCATCTTGGACAACTTATGTAACCCTAGACATAACTTACGGAACTTATGTAACCAGTTTTGTTTTGTTTTTTAAAGTGGAGTTTATGGTATTGTCTAAGGGATTAAGTGTGAGGAGCAAACAAAATAATCCACATAAAGCAGAAATTTTCGTACTTGTTTTTCCACAGTAACCCATAGTAGGAACTACATTTTACATGGGACATATACATGGGGCAAATATAACAAAAAGAAAAGTTTCACTAAGGAAAACTTATTCTATTACATGTAATACACTCTGTTTTCCATTATGTTTCATTTTCATAACCCACAGTTGGAAAAAAAACTGATTTAAACCATTTAGAATATCAACTCATTTGGCAGATACTGAGTGCCTACTGTGTGTTACACATGCTAGGTGCTGGGGACACAGTAGGGGACAAGCACGGTCCCTTCCCCATGAAGTCTCTGTACTAGTAGGGGATAAAGATAATAAAATAATTACAGATTATTATCATAGAAAATAAGGATAAGAATCAGTGCTTAGCTCTTAAGAAACAATCATTAAATGTTAACTGCTATTTATATTTGGTACTAGCAGCAAAGTGAAGCTTTTTCTAGGAGATTACAAAGTTTATATTCTAGTAACTCTAGACTTTGTGAGGGTTATTTATTGTTTACATGTGTCAATGATGTTACAAACTGTCAACACTCTCAACATTCAAACTACAGGAGTAAAAGAATCTAATGATGTTTCAAGAGCTGTTAGATATTTAAATAACCACTTGCAACTTTTCATATGAAAGCAAGAAAACTACTGTGCTCAATGAACGGTTTTGTTTAATTTTTGAGGTTGGTAAAATCTTTTGGCCTCCATTATAAGTTTCTCCTAATGCCTTTGACCTTATTTTGAACCTTTATCTAAGCATTGGAAACTATTTAATATTAGGCATTTTGATACAGTAAAAGAGTTCATTGTTAATTAACGTTGTAGTAAGTAATACCGTTGGTACTGCTTTCGGTGATCGTAAAGTAAATAGTTTCCTTTCCTTTCAAATATAATAAATTTTAAAGTCATTTCATTTAGTGTGGTAACAATATAATAAAATAGTGAAAACATATAGCCATAAGGCAGAGAAAATAGTTTTTAAGATGTTTAAACCCTAGTTTTAACAGTGAATCAAACAATGGAATCTGAATTTATCAGTGGTTTTTAGGATTTATTTTACTATTTATTTAGTAGCATTTTAATTTTTATTAGTGTATGTAACAGCTTCTGGAAGGAAACAAAGTAAAACTAACTCTGAACTTAAGCACAATCAAAGTTCACTTCACAAATGCAAATTACCACTTATTTAAAGAGTAACTCATTGCCTTTGAGTCTTCCCACTCACGGTGACCCCATGTGACAGAGTAGAACTATTCCATACGGCTTTCTTGGCTGTAAATCATTACAGAAGCAGATCACCAGTCCTTTCTTCTGCAGTGCCACTGGATGGGTTTGAACCACCGAAGGATAATGCCCTTTAAAGTAGAAATTTGTATTCCCAAATTAAGTATGGTGGAGTTATTTTATATGTGGCACTTCATTATTTTTTAAGTGTTTGTGCCTAATAATTTAAGAATTGTGTTAATAGTTAAAATGCAATTCGAAGTTCGTTTGTCTTGTATTGTTTTATTTTTGTTGATTTATTTGGTTTTGTATATTCACCATTATTTCCCCAAAATGTCTTATGTAGTTTATGCTTAAGGGAAGGCTAATAAACATTCTTGGTCTTTCCTCACAATTATTTCTCTGTTACTAAATAACTGTGCATGTCAACATTACTAATATCCCTTCATTTATGTTCAGCTAGGAAGTAAAAGGGAGCCCTGGTGGCACAGTGGTTAAGAGCTTGGATACTAACCTAAAGCTCAGCAGTTCAAATCCACCCGCCGCCACTCCTTGGAAGCCCTATGGGGCAGTTCTGCTCTGTCCTGTAGGGTTGCTGTGAGTCAGAATCAGCAGCAACGGGTTTGGTTTTTGTTTTTGTTTTTTGGTTAGGAAGTAAAAATGCAAAATGCTTTAACAGTTTTCCATGATAGTTCTTCCATTTTTTATAGATTTTCCTGATTTCTTTAAATATAATTTTTGGCACTATTATAATATTTCAAGAATTTAAGGCTCCGACATGAAAAGCAGAGTCAAAGTTAACTTTCTTGCTTTCAAAACTTCAGTGGAATTTTTACCTCTCCTTGACTCTGACTGTCCTGGAACAACCATGGAAACAGTATGCCCATCTGCAGATGCCACATTCACCTCTCATCCTTTCCCTTGAACTTTTCAGATGTAATCCTCGTTTAACACCTCAAAGAATGTCTCCTAGTCTGGGTTGCCTATGCCCTCTCAGCAAGAAATGGGAGAGGTTTAATGATTCTCCTTCAATATGGGAGTTCTAGCAGAAAAATCGAAAGACTTAATTACTCCACAGTTCTGTACTATTGTACTGACATAGTGAGTTATCTCAAAGTTTCCAGTGTGATTAAAAAAAGAAAAAGAAAAAAAAGAGCGGGCATATCCCATGTGTTAATCTAGAGCTGGAAGTGATATGGGAGGTCTCCTGGCATATGTTTAGGTGTTGTTCATTCATATCTTGAATTATAAAATGAAAACCCGTTGCCATCGAGTCGATTCCTACTCACAGCGACCCTGTAGGACAGAGTAGAACTGCCCCATAGAGTTTCCAAGGAGTGCCTGGTGGATTTGAACTGCCAGCCTTTTGGTTAGCAGCTGTAGCTCTTAACCGCTATGCCACCAGGGTTTCCATCTTGAATTATAGGTAGGTATAATTTAAGGTACACAGAATGACTAAGAACTTTATTAGTAACTGGGGAGGAGAGCAAATGCCCCTTGTCTAATTTAAATTTAATGCACCATTATACAAGGCCATGAGGTATAAAATAAACTACTTTGGGGCCAAGAAAGGGTCAGAAAAGCAAGAATAACAGGCAATCCAGGATCTGTTATTAAGTTCTGTAAACTTGAATGTGGGGATTTGATATTAGATTAGATAGGAAGAGAGATTGCTAGAAATGCAATGTCCTAACCTTAATAACAAGATCATGTCTATCGCTGCAGTATTAAGTATGGATACTATCTTAGTCATCTAGTGCTGCTATAACTGAAATACCACAAGTGTATGGCTTTAACAGAGAAATTTATTTTTTCACAGTCTAGTAGGCTAGAAGCGCAAATTCAGGGTGTCAGCTCCAGGGGAAGGCTTTATCTCTCTGTCAGCTTTCTCATCAATCTTTCCCCAGACTAGGAGCTTCTCCGCGCAGGGACCCCAGGTCCAAAGGATACACTCTGCTTCTGGCACTGCTTTCTTGGTGGTATGAGGTCCCCCTGTCTCTGTTTATTTCTTTCTTTTCTATCTCAAGAGATTGCCTCAGGGCACAATCCAATCTTGTAGATTGAGTCCTGCTTTACTAACACAACTGCCGCCCATCCTCTCTCATTAATATCATAGAGGCAGGATTTACAACATATAGGAAAATCACACAATAGCAGGAATCATGGCCCAGCCAAATTGATAGACACATTTTTGGGGGGACATAATTCAATCCATGACAGATACTATTTTATCAAAAACACTCATTGTAAAAATGGTGCGGTGGCAGCATCTGATCTCCTCTAACTTCCCTAGAGGGGAGGAGAATCAAGATCAACAGCCCAAGGCTGATTCATATGAGGTGGAGGTCAGACATACCTTCTTTCTCCAAATTTTTACCAATTCTGACACTAGCCGTCCATCCCATGGCACTCTTTACTTCTCTCCTGGGTTTGATAATTTGTCGCAATGGCCACACAGAACTCACAGACAATATTTAATGATTATGGGGTTTATTAGGGAAGTAACAAGTTACAATTAGGATCAAGAACAACTCAGAATACAGTACTTTGATCAGGACAGCTTCTTCTCTGCCATGCCCGCAGGCAGGACTCTCTCTGGCCCTCAGCTCCTTGGCCTAGCCTCTGCCCTGCTCGGGTAAGTGTTACAAAGCTCTTTAGCTTCACCAAGTGCCTATAAGCATCAGTTCGAAGGCACTCAGTTCTCTTGCTGCGTGGGTGGGTACACCCACTGTAGCTGCCTGCCTCAGTGGGCTGGGAAGCCCACTGAAGCCATCTTGTGTTGGTCTCCTGGTTTTGCTGCTGCCATTTCTCTACCACTGGATACTGCTGTGCTTGCCACCACTTCTCACCATCTCTGGTGTTACAT